ATCCTACATTAGATAATAATGATAAATTTGCTTATTTAGCACAGGCTATGGAGAAGAATTCTCCCGCAGAGGAAATAGTTAAAAGCTTTCCGCCAACTGGCGATAGTTACAAGATTGCAATAAGCATTGCAAACGCGTTTCAGTAACAAATAATGACTAACGGAGATTTATATTCGTGATTTGCTAACCCTTGTTATTCAAAAACAAGGTACACACTCTTTGCGAAAACTATACGATGAACTCGAATCTAAGAGCCTTGGAGATATTGGGAATAAATAGAGCCAAATATTGCGCGATATTATATCCATTGGTAGAATCAGCATTGCCGAATGAAGTCTTAAAAACGTGGGAGAGACTTAGGTTTTCGCGTAAAGGATCAGAAAGTTTAACCAGCGAAAACGCCGAGTTAAGAGAAAGGGAATCTGACCTTGAGCGTCTTTTATGTTTCTTGCGGGGTGAAGTTGAAAGTGAGGAAAGAATTTCTTTAGCAGCTAAATCTTTCAATGTTTTCGATCGATTGGCTCACGGTAATAAGAAAGGGAATTCGGGTTTAAAGATAAGAGAACCTCACTTAAAACCTACGGCAGCTGAACTGTTTACTTCTTCTAATGAAGCTAGAAAAGGCTGCATATTTTGTTCCAGTATAAATCATGGTTCTGCGGAATGTTTTCAGGCGCGTAACTTATCGTTGTCGGAAAGAGAAGTTTTGGTCCAAAGGACACGCTCTTGTTATCTGTGTCTGAAATCTGGACATTCTGTCAGGAGGTGTAGATTAAAAACAGTTTGTTTTACATGCGGCAAAAGGCATCATATTTTTCTATGTAAGGGCCATTCACAAATGAGTGAGACAAGGGCAACGGAACAGCCTCCAAATCAGGCTGAAACACTCGCCAACATTTCTTCAAGGTCTCCTAAAGTTTTGCTGCAAACAATAAGAGTAATAATTAAAGGAGATAAAAAATCTCGTTCGGCTCGAGCTATAATTGATACTGGTTCTCAAAGGTCATATATTCTGCAAAGCGCAGCTCAAGATATGGGTTACAGGTATACGGTAAAGGAATACCTTAGCCACGCATTATTTGGCGGTACGACGACCAGTTTGTGTGAACATAAAGTTTACAAAATTCATTTATCTAATATGTCTGGCTCTTACAGTTGTAATTTTGATACGTTAAGTCAGCCTGTTATTTGTAATAGTATACCTTCTATTGGACAAGGAATATGGCTTAAAGAGCTTGCTGACTGTGGAATAAGTTTAACAGATCGTTTAGAAGGACCTATAGAAATTTTAATAGGAGCCGATGTTGCAGGACGATTATTAACGGGGAATCGTAAACAAATTTCAAACGGTCTTGTAGCTATTGAGACAAAGTTAGGATGGACGGTTATGGGAAAAACCGGGGAGTTGAATAGTGAAGGTTCAACATTCTTAGTTACTTCAATGTTGAATAAAGAGGCTTGTATTTCTGATTTATGGGCCCTCGACTCGCTTGGTATTACGGACCCATCCGAACAAAAGAGTAAATTGGAATTGTATGAGGCTACCAGGCAACATTTTCTTGATACTGTAAAAATAGAAGATGACCGCTTTGTAGTGTCTTTGCCTTGGTTGGAAGGGCACCCTCCCCTGTCGGATAATTTTGAGTTATCGCTTAAAAGGTTGCACGGTACGATTAGGCAACTTGAAATAGATAATCTTCGCCAAGAGTATGAAAATATATTCCAAGAATGGCTCAAAGAGGGCATAATAGAGGAAGTACCCGTAAATGAATTAGATTTACCCCATCATTATTTGCCACATAGACATGTTGTTAAGGAACATAGTACTACGAAGTTACGGCCAGTATTTGACGCTTCGTCTAAAGCAAAGGGTTCTCCGAGTCTCAACGATTGTCTTGAAAAGGGATTAAACCTTATTGCATTTATTCCTACAATCTTAAATAGATTTCGCCAAGAAAAAATAGGGGTGATTTCTGATATTCGTAAGGCCTTTCTACAAATTGGCCTGAATTCTAGTGACAGAAACTTCCTCCGATTTCTTTGGATAAAGGGTGAAGATGGCTTGAAGCATTTTCGTCATTGTCGAGTCGTATTTGGTGTAACCAGTAGTCCATTTTTACTTGGAGCTGTTATTCAATATCACTTAAATTCAATTTTGGAGAGAAAAATGATGCAGATGTAAAATATCCTTCCAACATTATTGTTAAATTAATGAATAGTTTCTATGTTGATAACTGTGTAACAAGTGTCGGAAGTGAAGATGAATTACAGCGCTTCATGAAAGTATCTTCAGATGTTATGGCAGAACGAAAAATTTGAATTACGGGGTTGGGAATATACCGACTGTAGTTTTTAGAAACAGAAACTATTGCGAATGTATTAGGTTTGTTATGGGAAAGACAAGGCGATACTCTTCAAATAAATGTTGCTAATTTACAAAATCTTTGTTTCGAGAAAGTTACGAAAAGAAGTATTTTGGCAATAGCCCATAAAGTATTTGATCCCATCGGTATAACATGTCCAGTCCTTATATTACCTAAGATGTTATTACAGCGTACATGGGAAACAAAAGTAAAATGGGACGAAGAAGTTAACACCGAAATTAAAAGTAAATTTTTGAAATGGGTATTGTAAAGACATTTTTCTTTTGAAAAACATTAAAATTCCAAGGTGGATACGATATCAGCCAAAACAGTGTTCAATCCATGTTTTTTGTGACGCCAGTCAAGCAGCGTATGCGGCAGTAGTTTTTATTCGTGTAGAAGAACCTGAATCAGTTAAAGTCCAGTTGCTTCAGGCTAGGTCTAGAGTTTCCCCTTGTGGTAAAAAGGAAACGACTATTGTAAGATTAGAATTGTTAGCAGCAACTATTGCATCTCGTCTTGCTGCAGACGTTCTAAAAGACTTTGAGGCCAGAAGTACATTTTTCTGGACAGATTCAACTACTGTCCTTGCATGGATAAAAAGGGAAGAACCATGGGGGACATTTGTAGAAAATAGAGTACAGGAAATAAGGCTTTTGACACGTGTGGAGGATTGGAGGCATATACCTGGTCACCTTAACCCTGCAGATCTTCCAAGTAGAGGGTGTTCAGTTCGCCAACTCTCCCGGTCAAAATGGTGGGAGGGTCCGAGCTGGCTTTTAAAATCGCAAGAAAATTGGCCGAGTGCCGAATTTATAACTGATGAAGCGGAAATAGCCAGCGAGAAAAAAAAAAAAAAAAAAAAAAAGGCAGTGGTTTCATCTCTAGTGTCTACTGAAAGGTTTAGTTTGAGTGAGCGATTTTCTAGCTATCGAAAAACAGTTAGAGTTGTTGGTTGGATTCAACGATTTTTCTTTAATTGCAGAAATAAGAAAAAAAAGGAAAGGTGAACTCACTGTTGATGAAATTGATTTTGCAGAAAAGGTTGTTATTCGCTTGATTCAATCGGAATCGTTTCAGGATATAGAAGACGCACGCTTACGAACTCTTAGTCCATTTTATGATGCGGGAATTGTAAGAATTAAAACTGGTGCGTTTCGAAGAGATGATACATTAGAGTTTAGAACACCTATAATATTACCAGGAGAACATCCATTAGTTAGGAATTTAATTATGGAAGAACATAGAAAGAAAGGACATGCAGGTGTACAATATATACTGAATACCTTAAGGGAAAGGTTTTGGTTGTTATCTGGCAGAACTGTGCGTTCTGTTTTGAGTAAATGCATTACTTGCAAGAGATATTCTGCTGTACCCGTTGACCACATATCAGCCCCACCGCCAATAGAGCGAGTAAATGATTCAGCAGTATTTCAAGTAACGGGTCAAGTAACCTTTGTGGTCCTTTATTGCTGAGAAACAAAGAAAAGGCATGAATTTGTGTTTTTACATGCGCCGTTTATAGAGCGGTCCATTTGGAGTTGCTGACTTCTCTATCTACAGAAGTGTTTCTTCAGGCTTTTCATCGGTTCGTGTCACAAAATGATGTACCCGTGAAGCTGCAGAATGAAAAACAAGATTTTAACTTGTTGTTTCATTCTGAAAGTCTTTTAAACTCAACATAGATGATAAATCTGTCAGGCCTGTAACACGATCTGGTAGAACTGTAACTCCGCCAGACAGACTGGCATATTAATTAAGGCTCTTTGGCAATGTTGTTTTACTTTGATTGTGAAAGTTCACTTTTTTTTTTTCCTTATAGGTGGAAGGATGTTAAATATTTGCATATAATCGCCTGTAGTAACGGCAACCGCCGGCAATAAAAAGGAGGTGCTTTCCTTAGTGGCACCGCAGTTCATTTTAGTTCGAGCCAGAATAGACCTGCCCGGGGAAGAAGCCAGGGGATGAGATGAGAGATTCCGGTTCCCGTCTTGTTGCGGATCCAGTCCTGTTCCGGTTCCCGTCTTGTTGCAGTCCTGTTCCGGTCCTGATCCAGTCCTATTCCAGTTCCAGTCTGGCCGTTTAAGTCCAAAACACGTAGGAGCGGAAGTCTGAATCCAGCGAATGGATATATATGCCGAAAGGGCTAGATGGATTCTGTCTTTTAAGGGAAAGTGTTCTTCACCGTGCCGGCATAGCTGTTACTTTAAAGCACTTTGAATGTTTTCCGCCCAAGATGTTAAGTTTTCATCAGTGTTGAAGTTCCAGTTAAATAAACCTTTAAGTTTTAGACAAGGTTTTTGTGTTCTTCAGATAATTTTAGATTCGAAGTCAGATATATCACATAGGATATTAGCGGAAAAATCAACATTTGAGTCAATTAAAAAAAATCTTCTACACGTATTAATCTTGATTTCTCTGTGTAATTTTAATTTGTAATCTTTTCTTGATGAAAGTTAAACTTTAACTCCTAAATTCAAACCAATCTGTAAAAACACTTTTGGGGATATGACTGAGGTGTGTTCACACAAACTCTAAATTTTATTTATAACTTACAGAAGAAATATAATGACTTAAACATAGAATAAAACAAATAATTACAGATTAGATAACTCAAGATTTAGATTTCATACTCACTCCAGAAGGCACCCTGCCGATATCTTGGTCCGACATATAAATTGTCCAATATCCTGAGGACGTTGGTTGAATTGTAAGCCTACAAAGACCTGAAACACATTCATTTTTAATTTACTAAAAACTAATTTATTAAATACATTTTGATATTTCTAAATTTCCTCCAATATGCCCATAATTTAAGAAAAATCAAGATGACAGAAATGGTGTGCTTAGTTAACCAATTTTGCATGTAGAAATTTTTAAAAGAATTACATTTACTTCTAAAAATAAGATGTTTATTAATTTTCAATAATAACATGTCTTCTCTGTTTCTACTGTACACAGGTAAGCAATCAAATAAATGAAGATTATTTTTTTATGTTTAAATTAAAATACAGTCAAAAGTCGTTAATCCGGACTCGTCGGGACTTCGCCGATTCCGTATTATCGATTTTTCCGGATTATAAATCATCAGTTTAAATCTGGTAAGATGGCATTCAGAAATTATAAAATTAAAAATATGAAACCATAATTTATGAAATAAAGAACAATTATGATGTAAAGGGTATCAAAACTTACAAAAAAAAAAAAGCTTAATATTTATTTGTTTACTTTATTAAACATTTCTTTCGATGTAAGTTGTTTAAGTTGCTTTGTTTTATGTGCTAATACTTTCTCTTTAATTCTATATAAACAGACATAATTTCTTTTTCAGTTTCAAAGTTCTGCTGTTCAAGTCCTGTAATTGCTGTGCCAAGAATACCGACTAACTTGTAAATCGAAATTTTTTCGTTTTCACTAAACTGTCACTTTCTTCATGCCTTTATCAACTTTTTGCAGCAATTCCACTTTTTGTTTGATGGACATCGAAACATACTTTCGCTTTGTAGATCCTTTGGGAGCTCCAGCATCGGAAATTCTATTTGACATAATCGAAAGTTCAAGCTTACTTTTATAAAATTGCTCTAACAGTCTGCAAAAATAATAATCCGGATCCAATTCGAAGATTAAGGAACAACACAATCTGCAACATTAACTGAAATAGATAATTAGATAATTTTAGCTTATACCGTCCGTTATACATTAAACGCGCATGCGTAAACGTGTTATGCGCATGTGCTTATGCACATGCGTCAACGCAACACATGCGCAGAATGTTTGTAGCTTTGGGGTCCGGATTATAGATCGTTCGGGATTATGGGTGTCCGAATTAACGACTTTTGACTGTATTAGCATAAAATGTAGAAAGGTTCCAAAAGGTCTTAAAAGTATTTCTAATATTTTCAGATTATTTCTTTTTAGAAAAATATGAAATGTGTTTATTATTTTAGGGTTCATTGGAATTACGAACTGAAGGTTACTATTGCCAACCACAATTTCATATACTATCTGGCCAAAAGTATCTAGAACTGGATCTGGCAGTGATTTGAATTAATGCATATCAGAAAGCTATAAAAGTGTTGGTAGTGGTTTATCAGATTATATTAATGCATTTGTGAAACAATGTGAAAGTCAAGGGAGCTTGGTGACTTTGAATGTGGAAAATCAGTTTGTAAAATTTCGGACTTCCTACAGAAGCCAAAATCTACTGTGAGTGATGTAATTGTGAAAGGGAAATGTCAAGGCAGTAAAACTACAGAAAAACAAAGTGGCAGTCCAAAAAAAGTTCATGAGCACAGACGTAGAACTCTGAAAAGGGTAGTGAAACAAAATCCCAAGTCCTCATTGGTTGAAATCACTCAGAAGTTACAAAATTCATCAAGTTTTAGTGCTAGCAGAAGGACTATTCGCTGAGAGTTTAAAAAAACCTGAGATTTCATAGTCATCCAGCTGCTTACAAGCCAAACATCACTCCACAAAATGCGAAACATCGATTTTGCAATGGTGAAAAGCTCACCATCATTACACTGTGGACATGTAGAAAATGTCCTTTGGAGTGTTGAAGCTCACGTTACATTCTGACAGTTTCAATAGATGTGTCTGGGTTTGGTGGATGCCCGGTGAATGCTACTTAAGAGAATGCATTGTGCTAACTGTAAAGTGGTGTGTGTGTGTTCATGGTTTTGCCTGGATCCCTTAATTCCTGTAGTTGGAAACATTAATTTTGAGATGTATATGGATGTTCTGGATAATGCTGCTCTACCATGTCTATTGTAACTTTTTGGAGAAGGGCCACTTTTCTTCCAGCAGAATAACTGCTTTATTCACTCACTGAAACTTGCACAGCCATGGTTTGATGAAATGGGTGTTCAAAAACTTGACTAGACTTCACAGAGACCTGATATAAATCCCACAGAGCACATTTGGGATGAATTAGAACTCAGATCACATAGCCAGCCAAATCAACCATCCTCAGTTTAGCTGCGATAGACGCCTGGAAGTTAATCCTACAGCCAACTATCAAAAATTGGTGGAAGTCTTCCCAGACGTGCAGGTTGTCACTGATGCAAAAGGGGGGGGCAACATCATATTAATATATGTCTCAGAACTTTCCAAGTCTGTACCACTGGGTGTTCGGATATTTATGGCAAATAGTATTACAAAAATAGATATTACAAGTAACTAATTTATATCACCCAGAAAAGAAATTATACAAACAGTAGGAGAGATAAGAATTACAATGAATATGGAATTTGGTTTTAATATCTGTATAAGTTATAAAAACCTACCAGCCTGAATAAGTGGCTGCAAAAACTCTTGCAACCCTGCAGGGACACCACGCACAGCATCACAAGAATATCCATCTTCAGGCAATAAGAAAGGCAACTGTAAATCAGAATCTTCTTCTAATTTCACTTCACGTCCTTCACTCCTTGTTAATTCATCAGCCATATTCTCAGCCACCTAAGAAGAAAAACTTAGAGTGAATCACATTATTTCATTACTCAGATATTATTTGCCCAGACAGGAAAATGGTTAGTGACTATGACTGGCTGTAATGAAGGGCTTGAGTTCAAAACCCGGAGAAGGCATGAATGTAATATTGTCTGTCCATTCAGAGGAGGCAATGGTAGCCCACTTATTAGGTGCCTCCATAATAAAAGGACCACTGCTTCTGGCCATAATAGTGGCCAATACCTATAAACAGCTAGAGTCTGCCAGTGGTAGTGGTGGTGGTGGTGGTGGTGGTGGTGGTGGGAGAGCTATTTGCTTTTCGCGAGCTTAATGTACAAACAGCAAAATATTATTCAACTAGCATTATAATGATTTCAAAAATAAAATTTAATTTTATAAAATTCATTCTTGTCAACATATAAATTCAGCATCTTACAGAATAATTAATACCAATTGAAATCTTTATTATTATTTAAAAATTCTATAAAGTATAATAAGAATAATGTCAGAAGAGGTAAAAAGTTACATCATTAAGCAAGTTAAAAAATATTCAATTAGTTTCCCTGTATTTCAAACAAAATTTAATGTACTACTGAAGAAACTTTCACACTTAACTATAATTTAAAATGTTATTCAGTTAAAAAACATTTATTAAATTAAAAATATTCCTATATCATAAAGATTAATTTTTATCAAGTTTCTTATTGCAAGTTTGTTGTATCAGCGAATAAATTCAAAACATGTCTGCACGGCACATATCATTTTCATGGATTTAAAGATTTTCTTATTTTCATTGTATGCTTTGATTAAAAAAAAAAAAAAAAAAAAAAAAAAATACACATAGAAATCTCTTAGGAGGTTACTTTGTATTAAATTCAACTGCTTAAAATTTTTCTTGAGCATCAGTTCACAAATAAAAGTTTGCATCAAATGCTACTTGAGTATTTAAGTTGGATATGAATAATGTAATACCTTCACAACACTATCAATAAATTCTCGAGGTATCCGAGGTTCATCTTCTGCGGGTTGATATCGTTCTAATAGGGTTCTTAACTGCAATGAATTCAATTTAAAACAAAGTGAACTGATGGAAGCTAAATCTTCAGAAGTACTTTTTGGAGCTTGAAGCAAATGAGCAGCCTGAAAGATATTAAAATATGTTTCTTAAAGCGCAACAAAAAATTAACTTAAAATGTAATATTTAATTATATATGTAAATGTCATTTAAAATAAGTCTATATTACACATTTTGCTCAGTTTTTTACATGAAGATGCACACTCTATTAAAGTTAGTAAATTTATGAACTGTTAATTTGTTACTCAAATCTCGAAATATATTTATTCACATATAAGAATATTTTCATAAAATATTAACATTTTCAACACATATGCAAATATCAGAATTCATATTTATAATTTATATATAAATTAAGTTCTTCACATAAAATTTTAAACACTGCAGATCATAACTTTTATATCATTACTTTAACATGGTAATAATATACTGAGGTCAAATTCTGCTTACAAGCCTCGATCAGCAATTGCTTTAGCAATATTTACTGAAGAGGTATTCTAACATAAACTATTTTTTGATACTATTTAAGCAATGTCAAGTTGCCGATAGAACTTTCTATTTAATTAACATTAACATTTCAAATTAACATTTCTATTTCTCTGAAGAAATTAACCTTAATTTAATCATGCCATTTATTTTTTTAGAATTGGAAGCAGATTACGCATATATACTAAAAGGCAAAGGATTAAAATGCCATAGCATTAAAAAATAAAGTGACTTGAGATCATAAATAGTTGAAGCTATTTGAAATGGAGAACTTAGGTTTCCATTCAATGTTACCCAGCATTATAAAATTAACACTTGTGAATATTCTAAACGTTTTAAATTAAGAGGAATTTATTACAATTAAAAATTGAAAGAGCAATTTAATTGCACTCTTAGCATAATGTTCAATTTTATGAAAACAGAGAAAATTTTATTTTTCTATATTAAATTTAAGTGAAGAAAAACTGAAACAGAACTGCTGCAAAATAACACGTAAATTTTCACCAATTTCTGCATAACAGACATTCAAAAATCATTTTATAATTAAATACATACACACATATACATATAATCACTGACAAAACAATATCAGCTATGTGCAAGTTTGTCATATAAAAGTTTATATTTGACAATATTCTGGCTAATGCACACAGCATATATATATATATATTATATATTTTTTTTTTTACTGACCACAGTTCACCACCACATGATGCTTAGAGTCACATAGTAGTTTTTCCAGACAAAAATTTAGTAAGTAAACTAATAATCATAATAGTCAAAATGTCAAATCTCCAAGAAGTGCACATAACAGATATTAGTTTTACAACAACCTTTTATATATATAATATAAACTTAAAGCATCTAAAGTTACACACACACACATATATATATATATAATTGAAATAGAAATTGTAAAGCTAACTAGTAACGAGACGTAAGACCTATTTGGTCTCAAAAAATTTTTTTGCGCATGAAAAGATATGAAATAATAGTAGGTAGAAACAATGCAGCGATCTTGCTAAAAAGTAACCAGGAGCCGTAGCTCCACGAAATAGTTCAATGCTGTATTACTAAAATATGAACTAAGAAAAATTTTTTAAAAAACTTATCTGGAAAAACGCGAAAAAAAGCGTTAAAATTAATGTTGGAAGACATGCGAATGCACGAAAAAATATCTGACCGTTGTGATATATGAAAAGTTAATACACATAAAAAATAGATTGACGGAATAAAATATATATGAAAAGTTAATACACATAAAAAATAATTGACGGAATAAAATATATATGGAAAGTTAATACACATAAAAAATAGATTGACGGGAAAAAAAAAATACCAAAACATAAAATGCAAAAATTATAATGAAAACATAAATTGCTAAAATACAATAATTACAAAGCGGAAAATGGTAAATTAACCCACTCGTACCCTCTGCCAGGCTTTTCAAGGGAAAAATGACTAAATGTACGAACTAGGCCAAATACCATTACGCGTTTCGCCAAAACAGACCATTGAAGCTCTTGTTTGATGCACAAAAAAAGTTTTTTTATAAAAAATGAATAATCCCGAATAAATCTTTTTTGGACCCCACTGCTCTGTTCCTTTTTCCCGACGCGTCCGCCGAAAAACACATTAGGGTGTTAAGAATGTAATTGCAACTCCGATCAATGTAAAATTAAAATCAAAATAAAATAAATAGCGGTCTGCTATTAGTAAAAAAATTACAACTACGTACGGGCTGGTCCTGCACAGCTTAAAGAAGATAGAACTTTCAAAAAGAGAATGGTGCTGTAGTCAAATTAATATGCAATTAAATTTTCAAGAAAACAAACGCCGTTGGGCCTTATTAGGACCAAAAAAAAAAAAAAAAAAAAAAAAAAAAACACTGACAAAAGAAACGAAAAAACTGACCTGTAAGGTGCTGTTCTTAGCATCGCGAAAAAATCTGAAAAGGGTGCAAATTCCCTCCGTGTCCTACCAAACTTCTCGTCGTGTGACGTAGTTGGGGGAAACAATTAAAATTGAATAGGCCAATGGGCTGAGATTGTAGTTTTGGCGGGAACTTCTGTTCCCCCCTTTTTATTATAGATGGTGTGACAGACATGAAAAGACACGGAAAGAACTCAAAATGGCGTCAGTCAAGTTGTTAGAAGAACAAAACTGCTTCAAATAAGTGAAAATGGCTAATTCAGCTAAAATTACTTACTTTTTGGCCACAAAAGAAAGAGTACACTGGAAAAAAAGTCATTTGTTAATAAAAGTCGTCATTCTTCAAGCTAGAGGGCGGTCAAACTACTATGAAAAATGAAAAGGCCCGATTTGTTAATAATAGTAGAATTTGGCCATCTAAATAATTTAAAACTATTAAAACAATAGTATTAAAGTATAGTGCCAAAATCTTTGGAGGAAAGAAAATGTATTTATGAGAATAATCTGTACATTTATACAATTTTTACATTAGATTATCTGAATCAGCCATCCACTTTATACCGTCCCATTGGGCTTTGAGCCTAAAATTTCATTATCCAAAACAAATTATCTAAAAATTGGTAAGGCTAATGCCAGCTTTTTTTAAGGTATTTTTAATTATTTTATGAGGAATTTGGTTATTTTTCAAAATTGTGATGAAGTAAAGTATTTCTTCTTGTAAGTGTTCTGTAGTATTACATATTCTTTTTATTCTAAGTAGCTGTGAAAAAATAGCGTTAATGATGATTCTTTTGGAAATTTTAGAAGTCCAATTGGTTAACTTTAGTGTAGAAAAAGTGAATTCTCTCCTCTTGTCCTAGACTTTAATAGAATTGTAATCAATAATATTTATCAAGGTATACTACATTATTTTGCATCGTATTTGTATTATTTAGTTTTAAGCAAGTCGGGTAGATATTAGCAGCTTCTATTTTGTTATGGTTGTTAAAGGCTATGTATGATATCATCAATGTAACGATATATGTGTTGGTAAAATTTATGTTCTTTATTTAGTGAACGGACAAAAGATATATATATATATATATATAGCTAATAGCCTATTTTATACTATTTTAAAAATAACAAACCTGCACAATGCGGCTTAAATGACAATCAGCTGCCAATTCAAGCCCCTGCTTCTCAGCCCATGCTTCTACTCGGGCCAGTCTCCGTTTTAATCGGATACCCCAAACTCTTGTACAAAGATTAGGTCGGGTCTCGCACACAACTTTATTGAAAAGCCACATGTTAATAAAATGGAACAACTGTGAAAACATCTGTATTGTTATAGCTGCATTAACTCGACATCTCCTCAACAAAGCCATCACATTAGCTAGAATAGCTAAAACATCAGCTGAAATAAAAGAAGGAAAAATTATAACATATTTAACAGTAAACTATATTCTGGGTATAAAACTTTTAATGATATTTAGAATTGGGAAATTTCACAAAAGAGAATTCCTAAAGTAATTAACAGAACCCTCCGAACAGATGGCTAAATGAATCCACTATGCATATCTATATCTATACATCACCACCTTCAATGGATACAGTATATACTCATTTTTAGAGCCTTTAAAATGTCTTCATTCTGTCTATTAATGAGGTTTTATACTGTAATTTATTTTTATTTTAATTATTTGTTTTTTAAAAAAATGTCCCATTCCATTAGAAGTACTATTAATAAGTTGAATAAGAATGAATATCACTTTTTTCATGCCTAAATGTCAAAAAAATAAAAAAAAAAAAAAAAAAAAAAAAAAAAAAAAAATCAAATTACATTTTTTAGTTTAATAAACATCTATTTAATTTTTTCTTTATAAAAAAATACATATAAAGGAAATGAACTATTAAAAATTACTGCAAAGCCTGATAATAAAAAAATAAAAATGCATGTCTATATAATGAAATTTTTTTTTTTTTTTTAAATGAAATGTTGAGTGTATACAGATATAATCTGAACCACAATGCATACCAGTTGTGCCTTCCTCTTCATTAACATCATCCCTGTCTTCTAAAGTAGCTGGCATGGCATTCTGAAGCTCCACCTGCTGGCACGTTATTAAACTGCGATACGCTAATTGCACACTTTCTGCTAGTAGGTCTTGAGCATCTAGAGTATAAGCACTCAGGTGACGATCTTGCTTCAAAAAATGTAGTAACTCTGAAGTGTTAACAAGCCAAAATACTAGAGCTGATGAATCCCGATAAGAATCCTAAAATTGAACATGCCAGAAATGAAATATGATGATGAAATTATTAAAAGTTGTCTACAATTTAAACATGCTTGCAAATATAGTAAAATATTTACATAAAGGCTTAAGCTCAACAAGGATAGAATTAAGGTTATTGAAAAATGTCACAACAGCCTACATTAATATCTAAACTGTTGCAGCTCTTTTATGGTCCCTATTCAATTTCACTTTTAATGCAATTTTTTCTAACAACCACTTTTCTCTTTTAAATTAGGAATAGAATAATTTTCGAAATTTATTAAATTAATACATACTAAAGCTGCTTTTACTTGAAGTGAAGAACTTATGAAGAAAATATTTATAGAATACTGGCTATTACATGCAAGTATATAAATATTAATGTCCTCTGTTTGACACAATAAAATTAATCATCATTTCACAGTTTTAACTTTTAAAAAGTGCATCATTAATATTTCCAGAAAGCAAAAACAGAAAATCAATATAAATGTTTTTAAATAAAAATTTGCGATACTGTAATATATATATAGAGAGAGAAACATAGAAAAATAGAAAAATTTTTTACATAAAAATATAAACATTCCACATATTTTCATGCATTATGCCGCCAGAAAACTGATCAGTAAATACATAAAGAAATTTAGAACTAATTTTTCACAAAGACCAAAATTTGGAATTCATAATCAATATATATCAAAAAATTCTTTAAATGTAGAATAAGAATTCTAAAATTATTAAAAGAAAAAATAAAATAATCCATCACAAGAAAATAAAAAAAAAAAAAAAGAGAAAAAGGAAAAAAAGGGAAGAAGAGGAATCTAATCAACTTTGATATAACATCGTCAGGAGGAGGATGCACTGGACTCAATTACAACTCCTCTTTTCTAAGACAAACTTTGCTTTTCTGTGTCCAGAATTAGCTAATGAGCTATTCCAATATATTACTTAATATTAACAGTTCACCCAAAAACTCTGTGAAAAATTAGTTGTAAATTTTTTTCTTTACATTATTTTATTACTTTGCATCTTTAGCCCAAGCATTAGACAATTTATTACTTATTTTTTTATACTTAAGTAAGAAAATACTACCACTCACTCTTATAATAATATCTCACTATTTTGAAATATATTTTTAAACCTGAGGAAACAGCCAATTTCTTACTGAATACTGCCCACCAGCAGACGAGCGGTAAAGTCGCTGAACACTGGTAGTTCGGTCCGAGGTTCGAATTCTTATCAAAGCAGATAATATACTAAATAATCCATCAGTAAATAAATCATTTTATTACTTTGCAGCTTTTTCACACATATTAGGCAATTTTTTTTGCGATTAATTAAAATGTTTACTTATAATTATATACAGTCAAAAGTCTTTAATCCGGACTTGTCGGGACTTCGGCGATTCCGGATTATCGATTTTTCCGGATTATAGATCATCAGTTTAAATCTGGCAAGATAGCATGCAGAAATTATAAAATTAAAAATATGAAACCGTAATTTATAAAATAATGAGCAATTATGATCTAAAGGGTATCAAAATTTACAAAAAAGAAGCTTAATATTTATTTGTTTACTTTATTAAACATTTCTTTCAACGCGCGCATGCGTACCTTACGCATAGCGGAAATTAGAAAATTGCAACCAGAAAACTATTTGATTTGTATTCGTGATATTTATAATGACGAGGAATTTGATTTAAATTATATCAAAGACGGAGTACATCGAGATTAAATACTACATTTAATAAGGAATTATAAGCCGAATAAAATAAAAGCATCTGCTCTGAAGATAACGATAGTGGTGACAGATCAACTTCCAGTTCATTGCGCGCCACGACGTCCCCCCCCCACGCAGAGCAGCGTGAAATTGATAAACAAAGGATATACCTTTATCCATTTTTTGTAGCAATTCGTTTTTTTGTTTGATGGACATCGAATCATACTTTCGTTTTCTAGATCCTTTGGGAGCTCCAGCATCGGAAATTCTATTTGACATAATCGAAAGTTCAAGCTTACTTTTATAAAATTGCTCTTACAGTCTGCAAAAAATAATAAGCCGGATCCAATTCGAAGATTAAGGAACAATGCAATCATCAACATTAACTGAAATAGATAATTAGATAATTTTAGCTTATGCCGTCCGACGCGAAAACGTATTCTGCACTTGCGCAGACGCATATGCGCAGTCGTAAATGTCTTGCGCGGATGCGTAAAACGCCTATGAGCATGCGTCAACGCAGCGCATGCGCAGAAAGATTTTAGCTTTGAGGTCCGGATTATAGATCATTACGGATTATGGGTGTCCGAATTAACGACTTTTGACTGTATATACTTATTTTTGTGTGGGTATATATATATACCAATAATTTATAATTAGAAAACTTTTCATATACCATTTATATACATTGCTAGTCATTAAAATTGCAACACAAGGAAGGAATGATCTGACAAACGTCAAAATTGTATGAAAGGAAGAAGCTGGGATATGCATATGATTAGTATTTCAGCACATTTAGACGACGTAGGGAGGAGAAATGACATCTGAAGTACTGCATAAAAGAAAGGTTGTGCAGTGGATTTCTCATTCGAAAAGTGCTTTGAAAGGTTGGACTTTGCTCAGAATATCATGTTAGGCCTCTAATAAGGAGAGGAAATGCTTAACATCAAGTTTCGAAATTCGATAGAGGCAGGATTGCTGCCTATTGAAAGTGTTGATTATCATTCTGTGATATCGCAGGTTACACTGGTTAACATCCAGCCACTGTCATGCAAATATGGAATCAATGGCTTGCTGAAGGACTGAATGGCATGCATGATCTCAAACACCCTCCCATGACTAATGCCAGAGAAGACAGACATATTCTGAGGTCAGCCCTGCGAAACCGTACGACCACATCACAGACCCTTAGTCAGGTAATGGGCATGTTTGCAGCACAACCAGTATCAGCTCATAAGGTGCGCTGATGTTTGCAGCAGCGTAGACTATCAGCAGGGTTGCCATTGCTTCCCCTGACAATGCAGCATAGACAGAGACGGCAACGCACATGCACCAAAAGACAAAACTGGGTAGAGGAGTGGCACAATGTCACTTTTCAAATGAGTCATGGTTTTAAGTGCAGTATTCTGATGGTCATATAAGTGTTGTCCAAGGAGACCACATATCGCCTGCTTGAATTCGATATCAAGGCAGGGGCTTTGCACCTGGTGTGATGGTTTGGGCAGCCACTGGGTACATGATACACACATCTCTAGTTTGGATCGACAATAATTTCAATGCAGTTGGGTACATTTCTGACATCTTACGTCCAGTGGTTGTGCCCTATCTTCGAGGCTCCCAAATGCCATGTTCCAACAAGATAATACAAGACCACATGTTGCACGTCGTGTTCTGACCTTCCTCGATACTCAGGGTATAGGGGGTACATTCAGACCCTCCTGGCCACAGAGTAGCCTCATGGTCCGAAAAAAAGAGTGACCCCAATGATACTCAGGGTATTCGATTGTTGCCCTGGCCTGCACGATCTCCAGGTCTGTCACCCATTGAAAACATCTGGTCATGGCTTGCTGAGAGACCGGCAAGCCACCCCTTTCCAGCTAATACGGTTGATGAAGTATGGCACAGACTTGAAGCAGCCTGGAATGATTTGCCCATTTCTGTCATCCAAGCCCAATTTGACACCATGCTTAATGGGGTAAGGGTCATTTTAGCTGTCAGGGGTGGCAGCTGTTTCTACTAATTTAGCACCTCTGTAAACCTCCAAAATTCTTACAAATTTAAGCATTTTTTTCTGCATGCCATACGGTTTACGTACAATAAATATCTTTTTTGTATTTGCTTTCCTTCAAGGTGCTGCTATTTTAATGGACAGCAGTGTATACATATAAAATTCTTTGAAATAACAAAAGTCTAGAAATGAAAATTTTATCTTTACATAGTCTTACAGCCACTTTTCTACCATGCAGTAGATGCCATTGTAATGGTTGTAAACAAAGAACACAGTTATGAATTGAAGTCAATTAAAAGAAAAATTCTTGAAGTGTCTTTGTAAGCCTACAAAATTAAACTGCCAATCTTTACAGTGATTTAGGAACTTATATAGACTCAGCCCTTCAAATATTAGGAGCAACAGGAATTGATGATTTTAAAGAAACTATTAGTTTTGGTGACCTTATAAGCAACAGCATGCTCACTGTTAGCATTGAGATATTTGATGGTGTTCATGATTACTTTAGGCACCATCTTCAGAAATCAACTCATTTTTGCATCAAGGAAATTTCAAATACCCCACAGAACCATGGTGCACATTCTTCTTAAAAGAATACATGCAGTAAATTGCAAAATTGTTCAGCGCTTGCAGCCTAATGATTGTCCTTACAAGGATTCTCAGCAGAATAAATTATAACAAAGATTATTAAAATTGTGCTTTTCCAACAAATCAGCCTTTCAAAGTAAAAACACGAGGATTAATGTTTTGCATAGCCTAACATATATAATAGTCACTGGGATTTTTAATTTACCAAGACAAGTATGACAGTTTAAATTTACTCAGTTGCTCTGCAGCTATCACTGCAATTCAGTTAGAAAAATTTTACCCATGGAAAATTTCCAATTACACTACTGGCCACCCAAATTGCAACACCAAGAAAGACAAGAGATATCACAACAAAATTTACTTAGTAGATAACATGTTGACCAAGTATCAAATGATTAAATTTATAGACTTCTGTGAAGTGTGATTCCTTCAGAATCAGTAGCCGGAGTAGCCGCCATTGTAATGCCACACGCCTTGGCATTGATTCAAAGAGACTTTAGATGTGTTCTTCAGGTACAGCAGACCAAGCAGCTTCCACACGTTTCCAAAGTTGATCTGGTGTGGCAGCTTGGGATGTAGTCTGTGTCAATCGTTCAGCAACCATGGACACATGTTTTCTATCGGCGAAAGATCCGGAGAGCGAGCCGGCCAGGGAAGCAGTTCAATCTGGCGATTGACGAAGAACCCTTGGACAATGCGTACCCTGTGTGGTCGTGCATTATCCTGTTGAAATATGGCTGTGGGCAAGCCCTGAAGGTAAGGGAGGACAACTGGCTCCAATACCTCAGAGATGTTGCGCTGGCTGTTTGAAGTACTGGCAATATGTATTAGAGGAGTGCGAGAGTGATATCTAATACCGCCCCATACCATAATACCTGGTGCAGGACCAGTGTGGTGGTGCATAATGCAGATATTCAGCATCCTCTCTCCACGGTGTCCACAGGACTCGAATCCGACCATTGTGGTGTTGCAGACAGAAGCGTCACTCGTCAGTAAAGACAATTTCATTCCATTCTGCCGTCCACATCCTTCTTTCATTGCACCATTGGTGGTAGAGACATCTGTGATTCTGCATCAAGGGTAGACGAGGTAATGGACATCTTGTGGACAGACCACTCTGCTGTAAACGGCATCAAATGGTGCGTGCAGACACTGGATGATGCGTTACAGACTGAATGTGCGGTGCTATGGTTCATGATGTGACTGAGCGATCTGTCACTGCCATGGGCACAATGTTCCTGTCATCACGTGAAATGGTGCACTGAGGTGGATCCAATCGAACACGTCGGTCCGTCGTACCCTCCTGCATCCAACGGTCACATATCCGCATTACAGTTGTTTAGTTTCGTCCAACAGGAGTACCGATTTTCTTGAAAGATAATCCACACTCTCTGTAGGCCACTATCCTTCCTCTGTCGAACTCGGATACTTGATCAAACGATGATCGCTGTTTACTTGAGGCATAATTGAACTTTTTTTTTTTTGGAAAAAAAAAAAAAAAAAAAAAAAAAAAACAAGAAAAACACAATTGCCGAACTTGAAATCGTCAAAAACTCTAAGCCTTAAATAGCGCTTTGAAGTGTACGTCTGCTCTGAAATTCTAATCATTTGCATATCTCACCTCCGCTAATGCATGTTGTAAATCTCATGTTATTTGCATTCTTCCTTCAGGGTGTTGCATTTCTGGTGGCCAGCAGTGTAGATGCTACACCCCCTCATCAGATTCTACCATTCTGAAGCTCTTGAATGAAAATTTCAAGCCAGATGGAATAGAAAGGTCCATATTATTGTGCCCCCCTGCTTTTAACTTCTCCTCTTTTTTCCTAATTTTAATTATTAATATTACTCCTTGATTTCTTCACTTGGCTTTATACCAAGCACAGAGTCTGTAGTATTAAAAATATTAATATTTTGAAGGCCTGAATAACACATGCTGTATCAAGTGTTAGAGAGAAAATGCTGAAGAATACTTTTCGAGAACTGAAATGACTCTAAAATCTCCTAAGCAGGTTCAGCAGGATTCTCTTCTAGAAATCGCGGAACATGAAATATTATTTGAATTCATCAATAAATCAGGTCTCGTAAGATTCAATCTACGCAAGCATATTAAGACATATATGATCATTTCATATAATACCACTTATAATTGTCTTCACACTAACCCCACTCCATTCTGTATAAAATTTTACAAAGAAAATTCATTTAAAAATATTTTGGAGAGTTACTTTCGATTCCTTATTCCCTCTAGATAATGGTAATAGCATTTGAAAAGATCAAGAACCAATCTGAACTAGGGCAAATATACCTTGGCAACAAAAATAACTTTCTTCAGAATTCTATATACTGTCTTATATACAGGACAAACACATTGCCTCAAATATATGAGTTACATGGAACAGATTATGAATTTTCGTGTTTAACCGTTTGAGTCTGGCGCGCACTTCACTTGTCGTATGCCAAAAATACAGCGCAGCGCGATAGCGTTTCTCTTGTTTTGTATCGAGAATGCGAAGACACTGCTGTTGGTTAGTATACTTCAAAAAAAAAAAAAAAAAAAAAAAAAAAATTATTGAAATATTCAATTGGTTTTGCATCACGAGGAGGGGCATGCTTTGGTCCAGGTAATTCAGAAAAAGTATTCGATTCGTTTGAAAAAATTGTATCCACGGGTAAAAACTCATCAATAATATCGTCAGAGGTACATACAGTTACTTCATCATCATCACTGCTATCACTAATAGCTCATAATCTCTTAGAACGAATGATGATGTCACTTCCACTATCACTTTCAAGGTCATTACTATACTCTTCATTATCACTTCTCATAACATAGTCACTTTCAAATTAATCAGAACTTGACATGGATTATTTCGTAATTATCAGTATAACACTTGGTAAAAAAATGAAAACAATTTCCAATTCCTAAAAAACAACTGCTACTGATATCACTACAACTGCTCTCAATAATTGCATAAAGTATACTAACCGACAGCAGCGTCTTCGCATTCTCGATACGAAACAAGAGAAGCGCTATCGTGCAGCGCCGTATTTTTGGCATCTGACACATTGCTATTTAAATGCAAATTTGACTTCTAGTAAATTATTGGCATTATTACACAAATAACATTACATTTTATTCAATTCATTTGTAAATTACACTAAAACTTTTTCTTCAGATTTTAATTCTGGAAACTAGCTTGTTAACAATGTGCTCTTAGATATGTTACTTTTTTACAAGTTGAATACAAGTCAAAATGGAAGGGAGAAGAACTATTATATTTACCTGAATGACTTGATGCATGACAGCTGCAACATTGTTCATTAAAGCTGTCAATCTATGTGCCCTATCTGTTGGTGTTGTTTCAGGCCTAAAATGAGTGGAGGCACGATACCTAGCTGCCATATAAAGAGCATAAGTTGGAGAAAGTTTAAATTGCACTTGACTAGAATCCAACTGAGTAATGGCAGCAGCTAAGAAAGCATCCTCCCCTAATAAAAATAATGAAACTTTCTTACATGCATTAAATGAATTTGAATATTTAAAAAAGCTAAATTAAACTTGGAAGAGGATTAATTTTGAAAAACAACATTCATCCTTATATATTAAAGAATTATAAACATTTCAAAATTACTGAACATGTACATATGAAATCCTTTATAAATTTCTCATCACAAAAGTATGATTGTTTTTCATTTAATATAAATTTCTTTAGAATAAACAAATGTTTAATTTACAGATTTTATTCCCGTAATATTTTTTTCAACTCTTTTCAAAATTAAAAATTTTTATATTTTGCTTTCTTATGATCATTTTCCTGAATAGAACTTTTATTATTTCCCATAACTATATCTCATGCAATTTTACTTTTATTTCTATCAAGTTGACTTCCTTTCACATTATTTAATTGCTATCATCTAAGCATTCTGAAATTGAACTCCTCAAGGAAATCCTATATCATGATTAGAAATTCTTCCACTTCCATATGTTGCATTATGGAAAAATCATAAAAGTTAGGCTCTACATGTATATCAATTTTGCATTCAAAACTGACTTCTGACATATTTCAGAATTCTTTAAAAAAAACTTCATACGTTTTTCAGAATTTTCTTAATTTTTAAAACTAGTTGAAATGAAGTTGCAATAACTATTGAGAAGATTATTAATCGAGAAGCTGCAGATGTTTAACATTACAGCAAATTATTTTTTTAAGACCCTCAATAATCCACAATGATCACATAAAAGTACATTTTCTGCATTTTATTACTTAACAACCACAACAGCACCATATGAAAGTACATTTTTTGTTGTTATTAGGTACCCTTACAACGTTTTTGCCAGTCTTATTTATAAGTTCTAAATTCTCCTTCGTAAAGTTAACTGGTTCATCACTATCACACTTTGCTTACACGCACATACAACATAATATATCATAATTTTGGAGATGATGATTTGAGGATTTGAAGACAGCAATATTTTAGGATGCCTGAAAGAGAGAAGACACTAATTATCGTTTATTCATGGCAGATGGCTCCAGATATCGCTGGCATACAGACAGCACGTGTAACAGACGGATGGAATTTAAAAGCCAAAAATAGTTGCATACTCACCTCATAATTTTATTTCTTGATGAATAATTTTTTAGGACACATATTCTCTTTTACCCATCACTATGGGTGCTACATGCAACCCACAATTTTATATATATCTTATCACATTTTGGACAATAAATGATGACACAGTGAAGCAAGGAGACATGTGCTAGCAAGAGAAGAAATGCAACTGCACATTTCAGCAAAGGGGTATTTATAGAGTTGAATCCTCTGTTTGAGTTTTAGACTGCGACTGGACAACAGCTTACCATATTGCAGTATTAAAGGTAATATAACACAGATTAGTTTTCTGATATGACACACTTTAGCTTCCAGAAAAGGGACACAGCCTATGTAATAATCAGGAAAAGGATTATTGCTAAATTTAATTTAGTATTTTTCTTTTATATCTTATATCTTGCATATATAGTTCTTTCTAGAGATCTATAATATTATAGATTAGAAAGACAATAACTGTATGTACACTGTCCAAAAAAAAGGGGGGTAGTTCTGTATCTCCTGTTCTACTGGGCCAATTGACGAAATTCAACTTCCAATTTTCACGTCTCGAAAGTGAGACTTTGGATTTGTATTAGATTTATATATAACACTGTTCTAATATAGGTAACACAAAATCGGACTTTTTCTGAAATGACATACCATTTTTTTTTTTCATATTACAATTCTACGACTTAAATTATGCCAAACTGCCATATTTTTTATTTAAAAATCGCACAAGTAGTTTTTACAAAATTAGCTCTCCGAATTTTAGCTCCTCAATGTTAATTGAATTTGGTATGTATTTATTATTCTCTCTCTCTTTTAAAAAAACTTATTTGATTCTTCCTCTCACATTTCAAAATTTAGGTTCATTCCAAATAAAATTTGCCCATTTTTTTGATTTATTTTTTAAATTTGTATTTTTAAATAAATTTTTCAAAAAAAAATTTGAATTACAGCCTGTAAAATTTTTATCATCATCTTGAAGAGATGTATTTCTAAGTACACCAACAAAAAATTACAGTTTTTTTATTCAAAATTTCCAAAGATATATGTGAATTTATATATTGGCGTGTTTTGAAATTTGGCATATTTGTTGAAAGCGATAACAGCATCAAATGTGGTTTAGGCACATTGTTAACCTTATTTGAAAGTAGGAACGATGTGACTTTTTGCCCACTCATGCACCATGTAAAAAGGTAGGAACAGTGTGATATTTTTTCCTTTCCTGCACAATGGAAGGGAAAGGAAAATAGTTTGCCATATATTAAGAAGTTCGGTAAGAGAATTGTTCTAGGCAAAAACTGAAAAAACCATGCCAAGATAAATTTTTGAATTTCTCTGTAAATTTCGCACTAAATTTTACAAAATTTAATATTTAGGCATAATTTGAGTCATAGGATTGAAATATGAAAAAACAGAACAATGCCATATATACAAGTCTAATATATATCCTATGTCCTGCTTTTGAGACACGAAAAATGCAATTTGAATTTCGTCAATTGGCCCAGTAGAACAAGAACTATAGAACTGTTCCCCCCTTTTTTTTGCACAGTGTACATGCATGCATATGTTAATATAACGTGATCACAAAAGTCCTTAGGTGGTCTTTATTTGTATAACCATTAGTCATTAATATAGGGTAACCAACACGTTCTTGCCATTTCTGATATGACATTGAAACAGTGAACCCCAACATAAAATAGTAACCAAACCTGGCATAGCAGTAGCTAGGATTTCCATCCTAGCTAAAATAAAGACAAGGTTCACTGTTTGGTCTGGACATTGACCAAAAGTATAAAAGTGTGTTGCATCGGTACTTAAAACATAACTCACACAGCTAATGATTGAAATGGACGCGTCAAAGGTGCTTGTTCGGAGTTTTTTGCTGTATGACTTTAAAGTGGGTTTGTCAGCAGTAGAATCAAGTCATCGAATTTGCCAGGCCTTGGAGGATGATGCCATTAATGAACGAGCCACTGGACAATGGTTCCAGAAGTTCAGGTCAGGAGATATGTCTCCTAGTAATGCACCACACAGTGGTCGGCCACAAGCGCTGAGAGCAGCCATAGAGAGTGACAGTAGCCAAACATGCAAGTGAGCTTGCTGCACACTTCCAGGTATCTGATGAAATGATCAGACTCCATTTGCACCGCAGAGGAAAGGCATAAAAGCTGAACAAGTGGGTACCCCACTCGCTTTCTGATGCAACAATGACAAACAGGCAGCATGTCGCTGCTTGTTTGTCATTGCTTATCTGGCACCTCAATGCATCCATATTTGATACAGCAGCTCACCAGCAGCATTCCAGACATGGGACCCTGTGGCTCACACTGCGAGACCTTCTCTAAACTTACGCAAGGTCATGCTCTGTATTTGGTGGATTAGTCACCAAGTGGTGCACTATGAGCTCCAGCCAGTTGGCCAAACGATCATGGCAGGCCTGTACTTGCAGCAGCTGGAATGTGTGCACCAGGCACTGATGCATAAAGAACTGATGATGCATTGGCCAATCATAAGGGTGTACTCCTCCTCCATGACAATGCGAGGCTGCATGTGTCTCGGGAGGCCAGGGACACCATCCAGTGACTGAGCTGGAATACACCCACTATACTCCCCAGACCTCGCGCCAACTGACTACCACCTTTTCCATTCCATGGACAACCATCTTTGTGGGAAATCCTTCAACAACTGGCCAGACCTTGAAAAGGCCCTCACGGACTTCTTTGCGTCCAAGACTCCTGAGGTTTACCATGATAGAATCCCACAGGTAACCACTCGTTGGCAAAAGGCACTGGATGCCGATGGTGATTGCTTTGAAGATTAGTGATGATTATTATTTGTTTTGTAACTTTTTCTTTCAGACTGTCCAAAACGGTAAGAACTTTTTTGGTTACCTTGTATATAATTCCGACTGAAAAAGTGCTTTAAAACAACAGATGTATTCAAGTTATGGCACTGCTAATTAAACCGATTTTGTAAAAATCATCAAATATAACTTTTTATATAACCCTCTGGTATCTATAATTACATTTATTAAAATTCATACTCATTATAAAAATACAATACAAAATGTTTTGACTCCCGTACCAAAAAAAATTGACCTACATATTTAAAGCTTGAGATCATGTTCAGGATTTGTACATACACTTGTTATCAGCCAATAGATGGCATTGTAGAAAAGCTGCCGATAGGGGCGCATGATGGCAATCGAGAATCGGGAAGTGAGAGAATGTGATTAAGGTTGATTGTTCCGTAATTGTATGTATATATGTATATATTTACCATAATAATAAACAATTTATAAAATGCAAGAGTTATCCCGATTGAATAAAAAGTGAAAGCCCAACTTACCCCTAGCCGTCCTGATATTAATAACGGAGATTAAAGCTAACATTTCAGAAGCGGGATGATTGATGCAAGCACGCACTGAATGACTCGTGTCTAAGAGCATGGAAGAAGGGGTAAGTTTCGTTTTTAAAAATTTGAATGCATGCAAACTGTAGATTAACTCTAACAGAGTATAGAATTTAGAAGTATATAATTATATTATTAGTTAATATTATGGATGAGACTACAAAGAAAGCTTTAGATAAAAAAAACCAAACGTAAAACTTTAAGAAGGTTAACAACACAAGTAATTAACAGAATATCTGAATTATTGGAACATGATATTGCAGATACAAAATCATTAGAAAAATGTGAGATGAATCTACAAGAAAAAGATCACCTCAGATATTTAAGTTAGATCTAGAAATTGAGAATTTAATTAGTTAAGTATCTGAGCTCGAAACAGAAGTCGAGAATAATCAGGAATACAGAGAACGTATCATCTACACATATCGAAAGTCAAGAATTATCTCCAGAATTCAGATAGAAATAAGACAGATTTGTCGTTG